CAAAACGTTTATGGTAAAAACATATTTTGTTATTCTGTGCAAATGTTTGGTGGAAAGACTCAGGTCTTGCTCGTGCTCTGTTATTTGGTGTTCGCTCATGACTTCTCATGCTGTTGGTGATTTCTTTTACCGCTTCTTGTAAGGCTTGTACTGCTTTCTCCAGTCTATCTGTGCGTTGATCATCAGGAAATTTACTTGGATGTACTATAATGTCATTAACATTACTAGTGGCCATGACACTTTGTACTGGATTGATTTCGATTAACCGATCAGCCATATTTGCTGCTGCCGTGAGACTGCTTTCTACATTGACCGACAGAACGAACTGAACGTTGGCTGGTAGTCGCTTTAACCAGAGTGAACGTAAGACATCTTCTGTTACTTTGTTATCTGCTAAGTCTTGCATTTTGCGTAACAATTGCGAAGGTTTGCTGTCTCCTAATTCAATGTCGTATAGTAAAGTTTGTAACTGTTGTTCTTGCGTTGGTCTTAGACGACTGATAAGACATTCTTTAAGTGTTTTATACTTGTCGGTATCAGGAGGATTTTTGACTATGTCTGAGACATGTTGCAGTAATTCTGGATCAATGTAAGAAATTACTGTCCAATATTTGCTGTTGTCTCCAGTAATCTTCTTGCGATGGAATGCTGCGTCCACTTGGATGAACCACAAGGCTGGATCTTGTTTCCAAAATGGCGGTAACTTAAACTCCACCGACGCTACTTCTTTTTCGTCAGAATGCTCTTGCGTGGCATGACTTGTAGAAGGCTGCTGCTCGGTGTTCATGTTGAAAGTATTTGCTGTGTCGTTTTTACCACGGGGTCACCAATTATAGCTTTCTTTTTCACTATTTGTATAAATGTAAATATTATGATTGCCAGTGCACTTTTTGCACATATAATATTTAATGCAAATAACACAAGAAGTAAAACACGTGTTTTAATTTCTACTTAAGTCTTTATTCGTTCTTTACCCAAAACTCTTAAAAGTAATAATGATACAAAAGAAAACGAAAAACGTTAAGTTGGTTGCTCTTTCTATTTTGCTATCGCTGTTTTTCTTTTTACAACAGATGGCCATGCGAACGTAAAAAATAGTTGATGTTGTTTACAGCCACAAAATTTTTAGTGCAGCGACATCTATGAGTAAATGAAGGTAGGTCAATGAATAAGAAATGATATTTTGTTGTGACTTGATAATTTATGTAATTAAATAGTATGAAAAAAAATTTCCACAGAGTTGTGTTTAAATCAACTGTAAAAGAAAGCTTACCTGACTTAACTTATAGCAGATTTCTAATATAAAATCTTTAAATAATATACCTAAAAAATCGGTATATTATGAATCATTATGAAAACTTATTCGCTTTCTTGATAAGCTGATTTTGGAAACCTTAAAAGTTCTGTTGGAACAGCTGTATCTACGTATGCCAATTTGTCATATTAGAAATCACTGGAGGAATTAAGTTGTTGACTGCAGAAAGGCAGTTAGTTAGTTAATTGTGGTGGAGGGAGGATGAGTTCTCCTCAATTAGCTAAAAAAGCCTTTTTGAATCCACAAATAACTCGTAACAGTGGGTAATAGAGAGAAAGTCAAACTAGAACCGGGCAGAGGCATTTATAAATGCAAGAATCTGGGCAATGCTAATGCTAGAGAGGCAGTTAGTAAGATAACACTTACTCAAATATTTCTTGAGTAATAAAACTCTCGACTGGGTTACTAAGACTTATAACAGCTTATACCTACTAAACAGTGACTTGTAAAGATGGACTTCAACAGATATTTACTACTACTTATTAATATTATGATAATATATTATTTTTTGTTATATATTTTTAACTGAAGTTTCTTTGACATGTAACAGAATTGCCCTGTCTGAAGGTCGTTCTTTGCGCTTGCAGTTGATATTCGTCTTATAAACGCTTTACATAGGAAGTCGCTATATCTTGAAAGACTCTATCCAGGCATTATTCGAGAGAGGGCATTCTACCTAGCCACTTTATCTGCTCGTTATCTACTTTACTTTTTTCATTTAAATTAACCGATATTTAAATTAATCGTGTCTGGCCAAGTTATCGGCATTGTAATTTCCCACAGTTTTAGCGAGGTCTGAAACCAAATGTAGATGGACCTTATCTGCTTCACTTTTCTCGTTTAAAGAAAACCAGTAGCTTAACTGATAATATCCGGTCAGTCATCGGATTAAAAATTTTACGCAAATATGGTAATACCAGGACCAGTTGCCTGCTTTACTTGTTTCGCTGATTCTTGGCAGTTTAGCGATCAGTAAAACCATGCACATTACTCTCGTATTACACCTTACTATCTTTGCTCTCTCTTTATGATTTGCTGTAACTTTAGTTACAAAAAAAAAATTAGTGATCTGTAAGCATGCAGCTAAAATGCTTACTAAAAGAGTCCGAGAATACAATACCTGCGGACTAACTTATAACGTTGAGTAATCTGTGTGAATAAGGAATGGCTTATCTATATTAGTCTGGTTTAAGCTTTAATTTTCCTTATCAGCAATTTGCATTTTTGAGGGAGTTTCTAATGCTTTAGTTTATTACTTTGTGATTATTGCAAATTTGTTTAAACTAATACAGTTATTTCAGATAAATGACAGATTCTTCCATTCAAAAGAGGTTTTCGGCAATTTATGTATTAACTGGTTTTTTCCGAGCTTATATAAACAATTTTATTATTTGCAGTTATTGAAAATCTGCTTGATTTCATTTACTTAATATAAAAGCAGATAATAGAAATATTCTTCTATTCTCAATAGGTCTTCTGTAATTTTGAATTTGTTAAATTTTCCCTGTTTACTAAAACGGATTTTATAAGTTTCTAATCTGAAATTCAAAAGGATTGTGGTCAAATAGTTTTTTTTTACAAATAGAAATCATACAAGTAAAGTACGGCTTTGTTTCAGTTGGCTAATAAACACTGACTCTGAGCTTCAAATTTGGCAGGGCACGAGTTTACCGCTTACCGCTTTACGAATAGTTAAATGTTACAAATAATTCCAAGACTACTGATGGTGGGTATTTGTCAATACTTGAAACAGCTATATGGTCAGTCAAAAATTTAATTAATTAAAAATTAATAAAAAAGTTTGTTGTTGTAGTTCACTACTTTTTGAAGCTTCTATAAGATATATTTTCCTTTTCAAAATAATATAGAATCTTTCCAAGTCAAAACAAGATTCAAGAATAATTGTTTTTTATTAGAAATTTTTTTAATTTTGCTATGGCTTTCATGAAGTTTAAACTTTATTAATTTTTAAGTAGAATCAATTCAATAAACAAACATTCTTAATCGTTATAAGCAATATATAATAAATATTGATATACAAAGCATATCTTCTTTTCTTTATAAAATGCAATCAAAAGAAGTATTTTTTTTATAATTACTAAAAAAAATAAACAGAATTCAATATTCAAATATAACATTTAGCTATTAAATGCTAATAATGTAGCCTCCATGTAAATATTTATTCACTTCAGGATAAATTTGAAGATCAAACGAAATATTGTAAAGCAAACATGGAAATATCTACGTAGGAAGCACATGTTGTTACCTTTATAATTAAGTATCACATTAAATCCGACCTAAGTAAATTCCAAGGAACCTTTTCCATTTCAGTGCCCTGCGGGCTTGACAAATCTACTACATTTGCTGACTACTTAATGCAAAAACAAATACATTAGATGTATTAAAAGAGAAACACTCGTATCGGAACAAAATGGAACAAAAGGACACAAATCAAAAAATAAGAATCGCATTTTCAATTTTAATAGCGTTTATTGCCAGCAGCAAACATTTTTCTTACTTCCGGAAGAATTTTTCCAGTTTTTATGCTTTCACAAGCAAAAAAGTGAAAAAAATTCTTAAAAATTTTCAGACTGTAAAAGTAAAAGAAAAAAACAAAAAATAATAGAAAAGAAGAAAAAAGAATACGGAATACAGAATACAGAATTCTAACAGAAAAGCTTTAAGGAAGAAATCAATTGATGTTGCAAAATGGGATAAGGATCACACAGCATTTTAATGCATTCATTTGCGAGGATTCCTCTTATTTAAACGATAAAACTAGAAAAACATTGCCTTTATATTTAGAATGTGAACATCTCAACATTTGAACATTTCTTATATTCATTTTATATTTTTTATATTTAGTAAAACTACGATTTTTATGCAAACAACAAAAACAACAAAAACAACAAAATGTATCTATAAGAAACACAGCAAATAAGCGAAGTAGCGAATAAGAAGAAATAGTCGAGATGGAATAACGAATATCTTTGCTGGAGACAAGTTTTCTCGGGAAGCTGCAACTTAGTACTACTTAAGCAAATTCAATACAACCAATAGATACTTTCTTCTTCTTGTCGTGGCAGGATTACAAC